GGAGAGAGAGAGACATCAGTGATAAGAGAGAATCATTGATCGGCTGTCTCCTGCATCACCCCTACTGGGGATCAAGCCCACAACCCTGGGCATGTGCCCTGACGGGGAATCGAACCGTGACCTCCTGGTTCACTCAACCACTGGGCCACACCTGCTGGGCCAAAATAATATTGAAAAATAAAAATTCAACTGAGTACATGTAAAGTTCCAGCTGGCCTTTTTAAGTGATTAATGAATTGGGCAGTGTCTCATCTAGCAATTAGAAGGGTGCTTGGAGGAGTTGTACAAAATGGAAGGGTCTTATAGGCAGAAAGAGTGGGATAAGCAAGTTAAAAGAGTGGATTATTTCAGGCAAAGCCACCCTCCCTTAGGAGAAGAAGTGGTGGTGGGGTTGGGGGGGGGGGAGTTATCAGGCAAATTATCTCACTAGGACTGACCAGGAAATTCCAGACTAATTGGTTTAAAATTCCACTCCTGGGAGAGGCTCTAACTGCAATTAAGTTAGGAATTAAGTCTTGATGGGGCTTAGCAAGAGTGATTCCATTTTGGGTCTGTTGTTTATTTTTAACAGCTCTTAATAAAATGCCCCTTCATTTTAGCCTATCTGTTCTCTCATCATGATTAAATTCAGGATATTTATTTTGGTAAGAATACCACAGAAGTGATGTTGTATCTTCCTCAGTGCATCATAGCAGGAGGTACATGCTGTCTGGTGATATTAATTTTGAAATCTGCTGGTGGCTCACAAGTTTCTCCATTGCAAAATTACTTATGAATGAGGAAGGGAGAATAGTATCTTCTAGGGAAATACTTGGAGATGAGATAAAGATCCCTTCCTCCCCCCCCCCCCCCCCATTATACTGTCACTCACTAATTCTAATATCCATTGATGATTCTTGCCTGAAACAACCAGAGATAATTTTAAACTAGAATAATAATGAAGAGAAACATGATCGGCTAGTCTATGAAAAGTACTTCATAAATGAGAATGCCCCTTAATCTTCTCTTCCTCAGATAGCAGGTGGAAGTCACAGGGTGTCCACTTTTTTCAGTGAATTATTTATGAGCCCGGGTCCCCACTGAATGGCCTGGGTTCCAAGTGGTGATGTCCCCGCCTGCCCACCTTCTCATCCATTTTTACAAGCCATATACTTCCCACAAGTCTCAGCTCAAAGCTCTGTTCTGCATAAAGTCTTTTATGGGAGGGCAGGGTCTACCCTTATTTCCTTTGATATTTTTCTGCACTTAACAATAACATTCGGGTCTCAGCACTCCCCCGTGGCGGTGGTAGGAAACAAAGAAAGGTGATTCATAGTTCCCCAAGAAATAGTAAAGAGAAGTGCATGAAAATTAATGGATTCTAAAGAAAAGAACAAGTGTTGTGGAAATCCAGAGGAAATCAAAGAGAAAGTGGCTTTTGAAATGGGACTTGAAGGACGCAGAATTTGAGCTGTGGCTGAAGGTAGGAGGCGTTCTAGATTGAGAAGAGGTGATTGTGGGCACAAAATGGTCCTACCGGCAGAAACATGTGACAATGTACTGGGGGCTGGGCAGGCCTGGCAAGCATTCTAGGCTGGTTGAGTAAAGGGCTGGGAAGAGATTCAACCATTTTATAGAGGCTTTCACACTGCTAGTGTGGGATGTTAGCCCAGATTTGAGCCTGGGGTTTTAGGACAATAATTCTCGCAAGAAGATGGGGGTGGGGGGTGGGGTGGGGAAGGTGGATTGGATGAATATGTCATTGGAGGAACGGATGCCAATCAGGAGAGTTCTGGACAGAATATGAGCACCTGAGTTTAGGTAGCTGTTAGAAAGGTGCAGCCAACTGGTCAACAACCAGTGTTCCACTGCTTCTTTGTAATTCTGAAATCTAAAAAGTTGAAAACCACCCGGCTGGTGTAGCTCAGTGGTTGAGCATCTACCTATGAACCAGGAGGTCACGTTCAGTTCCCGTCAGGGCACATGCCCGGGTTGCAGGCTCCATCCCCAGTAGGGGGCCTACAGGAGACAACCGATCAATGATTCTCTCTCATCACTGATGTTTCTAACTCTCCCTCTCCCTTCCTCTCTGAAATCAATAAAAATGTATTTTAAAAAATAAAAAGTTGAAAATTTTTGAATTTCCTCTTAAGTTTGCAGACAATTTATCCAGGAGGAAACCCTGAGCCCACCATGCTGGGAGGAAGCCTAAGCTTCGTGGAGAGAGGTCCAGGTGGAGGAGCGCTGAGGTGCCGGCATGCGAGTGAACGGAATGAGTGAAGCCTTTTGGAGTTTTCTGGGCCTGCCCACTGGGAAGCAGCTGTGTGAATGACTCCAACCAACACCACATGGAGCAGAAGAGCCGCCAGCCAAACTCTGCCCAAATTCCTGAGCCACAGACTCATGAACAGATAAACACCACTGTCATTTTACACCACTAATGTTTGAGGCATGTTTATGAAATTGCAACAGATAAACACACACTTAACGTCATTCATATATTTTCATTGCACAAAGTCAGTGTATTTGATGAAAAGGCCACTCCAGCCCTTACCGAGGGTGTTGTGGGGCACATGGTGTATGTACAGTTTACCTTTCTAAAAAAAAAAAAATCTGAATTTTGAAATCCATCTGGCTGCAAGGGTTTTTTGAGGAGGAATTGTCCTTTGTATTACAGAAATAGAGTTGTCTAGACTTCCTTCCTGTCTTCCTGCATTCACAAAATGTCACGAGTGATGCCATAGACTCCTTCAGGCATTTCACACGTGTATCTCATATTTCCCCAGTGACATTATCGCTTTCTCGAAATCAATAACTCTCACACTTCAGTGTGTATCACAGTCACTTGGGAGGACTGGTTCAAATACAGCTTCCTGGACCACCACCCCCCCCCACCCCCCCACCCCCAGCTTCTGACTCAATGGGTCTGAAGTGAGGCTTGAGAACTTGCATTTCTGACAGTTTCCTAGGTGATGCTGCTGCCGCTGGTCCAGGGACCACACTTGGAGAACCACTCCGCCTGGGGAGAGTGCCACGTTTTAATTTTTGTTGCATTTGCCCACCAGTGCAAGGTGCTTAACAAATGCTCATGGACAGAATTTCCCCAAACCTTTATCTTTGCACTGTGTTTGAAGCCTTAACTTTTATTCCTGAGGTCCTCCAGGTTGGCCCTAGACTGAAAAGAAACAAATTCCTTGTTTTCTCAGATGGTAGTTTTTGCTCTTCTTAGTTCAGCCGCTAGGACATTGTGGATAAAATGTTACTTCTGACCTCTTTTTTTTAGCCTGTGTTGGACAGATCAGAGCAAATGCCTTCCTGTGAACCCAAAGCTATTCTCTATTCGTGACCAAGGATTGTGTCCTTTCCTTTCGGTGGTTTCCAAATAACATTTGTTCCTTGTCATCCTTTCACGAAACAGAAGGAGGGGCCACCCAGAACACGCTCTTTTTGATGAGAAGTCCATCTGTCAAAGCCGCATTTTACAGATGGTACCATTGAGGCCCAGAGAGGTGCAGCCACTTCCTCATGGTCGCACAGCTGAGGAAGGCCAGAGCCTCAGCGCTGGAGCTCAGGTCGAATTGACCCTATAACCAGGCGCTCACTAAATAGGACTCTGGCATCTCCCTCGCCTCAGCTCCATGGTCCCGGACACAGCCACTAAGTGCTTTCTGAAACCCTGACTCCCTAATGCATCTACCCCACAGCAGCTCCTTGAGGAGGAAACTGATTCGTTGAATGAAATGGTTTGGCAGCGCAGCCCGCATGGCTCAGGGGTTGAGCACTGACCTTTGAACCAAGAGGTCACTGTTGGATTCCTGGTCATGGCACATGCCTTGGTTTCCGACTCAGTCCCCATGTGAGCATGCAATGATTCTCTCTCATCATTGATGTTTCTCTCTTCCTTCCTCTCTTAAGTCAATAAAAATATATATTAAAAAAAAAAAAAAAAAAGAAGCCGTAGCCGGTTTGGCTCAGTGGATAGAGCATCGGCCTGCGGACTGAAGGTTCCCAGGTTCGATTCCGGTCAAGGGCATGTACCTGGGTTGCGGGCATATCCCCAGGAGGAGATGTGCAGGAGGCAGCTGATCGATGTTTCTCTCTCATCGATGTTTCTAACTATCTTTCTCCCTTCCTCTCTGTAAAAAATCAATAAAATATATTTAAAAAAAAAAAAGAAGAAGAAAGAAATGGCTTGGCGGCCCTTTGCACCTTGGCGTGCAGAGGCGCATATTCTGATACTGAATACGAAAAGCACAGTCCGTGTGTCATAACATTCCCTTTGCACACCCACACTGTTTGAGCTCCCCCCCCCCCCCAAACATTTCCTTCCGAGAGTGACGGGGACCCAAGTACGCCTCCTCCCCCATCTCCGCGCCAGGAGCCGTCCCCTCGGCTCCACGGATCCCCGCGACGGGGCCACTGCGTGCGCCCGGAGGTGTCTCGCCCTCCGAGCCCGGCGATTAGGTCGGTTCCTCACATTGTTCCCGGCAGGAGGGGCAGGAAATACCGCCGGTGGTGGCGGCGGCGACCGCGGCGGGCGGGGGAGAACCCCCGCCGTCGCCTGGGCCGTCCTGGTGGCCTCGCATCGATCCCGGGTCTAAGGTCCGGCCGGGTCAGAGTTCCCGCCGCTCGGTCGGCGTGCAAGTCACACCCCCGCCCCCCCCCCCCCCCCCCGTCCCCCAGGCTCCGCGGGCTCAGTCTGGAGGCCTCGGTGTCCCCGCGGGGCTCCTGCAGCCCCGGCCGCCGTCAGGTGGAAGGAGACAGGTCAGCGGCGGCTGCCCGCCCGAGGGGGGCGGAGCCTGTCGGAGGCCAGCGCCGGGCCGGGGGGCAGCGGGCGGCCGGGACCCCGCACCCCGTCCTGCGCGCGGCCCGCCCCGCGACCCTGGGCACGACTCCGCGCCCTCCGAGCCGCACCGTCCCGGGCAACAGGTGAAGACGCCCCGGCCCGCGGCGCCCCGGCGGGGCGGTCCCTCCCCGCGCGCCCGGCGCCCGCCCCTCTCCACGCCCCCTCCCCTCCTCCCGGCCTCCGCCGCCAGCCTGGGCCGCCCGGCGGCCTCCCCCAGCTCCGGCCCGTCCTTCTCCGCTCGCGCCCCCTCGCCGCCCGAGAACCCGCACGCCGAGGAGCCGGGGGCGCCGCGCACCCGCTGGACACGCGCCGCCGCGGGACCCGCCCCGGTTGGCGCCCCTGCGCGCCCCCTTCCCCGCGCCCGCCGCGCGCCCCTCCCCCGCGCCCGGGTCCCCTGGGCTCCCGGCCGCAGGTCCAGCCCCCGACGCGCTGGGGGTCCCGGCGGAGGGGCCAGCCCGGCAGAGGCGCGACGATGGAGGAGCAGCCGCGCACCCGCCCGCACACCGTCACCACCACCGCCAGCTCCTTCGCCGAGAACTTCTCCACCAGCAGCAGCAGCTTCGCTTACGACCGGGAATTCCTCCGCACCGCGCCCGGGCTGCTCATCGTGGCGGAGATCGTGAGTCCGGGGCCCCGGGGTGGACGGGGGCGGGGGGGGGGGGCGGGGGGCAGAGGGACCGGCGCGCGCGCCTCGGCCGGGAGCCAGCGCAGGTCCGCGGACGGGCCTTTTCGCTCCGTCTCGCCTTCTTCCCAAAGTGTGAAACTCAGAGACCACCTCTCTGAGCGAGGTCCCGTCATCTTGGGGAAGAGGCTCGTGACCCTCAGGATGTCAGTCGGGGGAGAAACCCAGCCTGCGGGGGACCCCGTGGGTGATGGAGGCTCGTCCTGGGAGCTGGATGGTTGGTGAGCCGGGAGTTTATGTTAATGAGAGTCCCAGACACCTGGTGCCGCCCTTACCTGCTCTCCACGTGGGTGGCCTCCTCCCTAAAGCAAAGCTTTCCAAAGGTGGGGGGAGAGGAACGGATTCATCCCTTTCCCTAATTATCTCCCTGGTAATAAAGTTGCGGCGAGCCAGGAAAGGTTCACTGAATACAAGCCGAGGGCCTCAGCCGCTGAGGACCCAGGGTCTCCCGCTTGGTGCCGTGGCACATCTTGGTTCGGGCTGAGAACATTCCTGGGGAGGAGGCTGGGCATGTGCATTCTCCCCTTCCTAGGAGGACAGGGAGGCTGAGAGGGTAAGTGATTTCCTGCGAAGTCCCAGCCAGTCCTTCACTGCCTTTCCATTGAGTCTTCGTCGTGTGCCAGGGTCTCCTCAGGCTCTTTAGGTGCCTTCTGCCCTTACGTAATCCGCACAACAACCCTACCCTGCGAAGGTGGCTTCAGCTATTATCCCATTTTACAGGTGAAGAAACTGAGGCATAGAGAGGGGAAGTAAGTCACCCCCCGCCCCTCCCAGGTGGAGGAGCTGGAATTCAAACCCGGGCCTGACTTGCCAGGGGCCTGCCCTTCACTGGGAATGGGCATCCCATCCAGCTGCCTAACCAGTGCCCCTTCCGCCAGGTGTCCTTTCCTGTGAACACTTGTGGAATGAAACTCTAGCCTACGTGGGGGTGGAGAATGGGAGTCAGGATGGTGCAGAAGTGACTGATGACTCTGAGAAACCTTCAGCAAAAGCTGTATACATCAAATAGCTTACTTGCTCCTCCATTGTCTCAGACCCCTCCCCGGGTTACTGGATCCCCCATCCCCCCAGCTGGTGTGGAAGGACTTCAGAAGACCCAATAAAAAGCTAAGGGATTGGAATCGCCTTGTAGGAGGGCCTGGCTTATAGGAATTCAACAAATATTTGCTGTGTGAATGAAGGAGTTGGCAGGCTCCCCTGCTCTTTCAAAGCAAACAGAAGCTAAAATGATAGAGATGGGGCTTTTACTGTGGGGTGGATTTCGACCCGGCATAAAGTAAAATGCTTCTTGTTTTCTGATTAATGATCAATAAGCTCTATGTTCCACACTTTTTCAGAAAATAGAAAAGTGAAGGAAACCATGTAAATGGCCCACTATCCCATCCCTACAAGTAATCACCGTTGATATATTGGCATGTATCCTTTTAGATTTCAATACATTTTTTGAGAAAGTCAAAAAAGCGTAAGAAAAGTTACTCTTATGACTGCTACAGTTGAGTTTTAATTCTGGCCAGAACTATAGATGCACATGTTTACAGAGCCAAATAGTCCTATAGGCAGACATGTTTCCCCACCCGTCTCCATACCAGAGGTACGAACATTCAACTCCCTTAGAGCTCTAGATCAGTGGTGGGGAACCTTTTTTCTGCCAAAGGCTATTTAGATATTTATAACATCATTCAAGGGCCATACAGAAGTACCAACTTAAAAATCAGCCTTCTATATTTGGTCAGACATTTCATTAACTCACCGCTAATGCCTTGGCAGGTCCAGACCCAGTGATTTCTCGGGCCTTATACAGCCCCCTCTTTACCACCCCATTGTACATAGACCCTCCGCTCTTCCCCTTCGTTTTGGGTTAGATCAATAACAAGTGTTGACCTGAGGAGACTGAGCCTCTGAGTAGTCTATGGGCACTTTTCCTTGCTTGCCCAATTTCTTGTTTTCCCTGGAGTTAGTCATTCTTTCTTCCCATTTGTTTTTCGTTCTCTGGATATTTAGTCACTAGTTTTGCCTTAGTTGTCTAAATCTCCTCTTAGAAAAACTGAGACATGTTCTGAGACAGAGCTGAGAGGTGTTCTGTCAGGGTCGTCCTTACAATGGAGGGAGCCTCTGAGCGGCCCCCAGCTCACCTGGGCACAGCTGATGGCTGGGGTCTCCTGCACCACCCTGGGCTGGATCCCCTGCTTCCCAGGAGCAGTGTCCTCCCTGTCTTGCCTTCCTTTTGGGGGGACACACAGCCTCTAGTACAGGGGTGGGCAAACTTTTTGACTCGAGGGCCACAATGGGTTCTTAAACTGGACCGGTGGGCCGGAACAAAAGCATGGATGGAGTGTTTGTGTGAACTAATATAAATTCAAAGTAAACATCATTACATAAAAGGGTACGGTCTTTTTTTTCAATAGTTTTATTCATTTCAAACGGGCCGAATCCGGCCCGCGGGCCGTAGTTTGCCCACGGCTGCTCTAGTAGTTTCCTACGAAGGGATGCATCTGTAAATTGAGATGTGCGTCTTTCAAAATGGCTTGATCCAACTGTAACATAATGAATAGTTTGGGTAAAGAATGTTAGATTATAAATTGTTTTTTTTTCCTCCAGAATTTTTAAAGTATTTCTCTGTTGTCTTCTAGTTATTCTATTTATTTTTTAAAAGTATTTATTTCAATTCTTTAAAAAATGTATTTTATAAGCATTTGTTTGAGCCAAAACTGACAACAGTTGCCGGGAAAGATCTCAAATGCCCTGTTTATTCCAGTTCGTGATCCCTTTTTTCTTCTGGAATCCTGTAGAATCTTCTTTCTTCTGTAATATCACAGTCATGGGCCTTCATGTGAGTTTGTTTTCTTCCATTATACTGGGGAGCTGGTGTGTTCTCTCAATCAGGAAAACTTACGTGTATCTTTAAGGAGAACTTTAAATTTTTTTTCTTTTTGTCTGGGTTATATGGAAGCTCTATTTTATTTTTAATTCTTTATTGTTGAAAGTATTACATATGCCCCCTTTCCCCTCCCCCTCATTGTCTTCACCTAGCCTGCCCTGTCTCCCCCTCCCCCAAGGCCATCTCCCCCTCTCCCAACGCCGTCCTTCATCCCCCCCTCCCCATTGTCTATGTCCATTGGTTATGCTTATATACATACAAGTTTTTTGGTTGATCTCTTACCCCCTCAACATCTGCCCCCATCCTCCCCTGCCTTCCCTTAAAATTTTAATTTTTATCTTTGCATTTTTTCAGTGTTTTGTTGTTTTTTCTGAAACTTTTTTTCTATACATATGTGTGTGTTTTATATTTTTTTATGGATTAAAGACCTGCTGTGTTCACTTACCATATACCATGAGCATTTTTCAGGGCCTGAGATCTCTCCCGCTATAATAGTTTCCTGTCATAAGGAAGTACTGTTTTGATTTCCTCTGTTTTCCATTGTAAAACTGGCATGTTTCTAGGTTTTACTAGGATAGCCAGTGCTGTAGAAATCTTCCTTGTTTGTCCCTCTTTTTACATTTGTCCAATGGGGGGGCAGGTTTCAAACTATTGCTGTCCCAGCCCAGAGATTAAGATAAACCCAGAAGAATGTTAACTTTTCTGCCTTGAAAAAAAACAAAATACTGAGACAAAGAACTACTAAGAACCTGACTTCCCCCACCTCATCCCAGGGGAAATGAAATAATAGAGAACAAAACACAATGTTTCCCCAAATTTGTTGTAAAAATGCTTGCCCTGACTTTCTCATAGGGGTGAATGGTAGCAGCTAACCTACTAAAACACTCTAGGCTGTGCCAATATGACATCGTGTTGAAACCAAATTGTATTTGTTCCCTTTTCAAAATTTTATAACAAACTAAAAGCAATCCAGTACTTGACCTGTGATTTGGAGGATGCTGTGATCTCATAACAATCTCCAGTTTTTATCTGAGACTAAAAGTGATTTGTCAGAAGCTGAGTTAGTTGCACCCTTCTTGTTACTGATGACTTTAAAATGAATTATAGCATCTGTGTAGTAATGTAAGGTCACCTTTCATTATTGTCATGAGCAAACGTAGTTGAGGAAGACAGAATAGGGCTTTCTGACAGCTGGAATCTGAAGTACTCTATCCTGTTGCGTTCCTTTAAAAAAAAGGGGGGGGGGCACAGTTCCCATTTCACAAAAACAATACCTAGTCTTTGCAGAAAAAATTAGAAAAATGCAGGTAAGAAAAAAAGATGTAATTCTAGCCTTCCTAGTGGTTCCTCATGGGCGTGGTACAACTCTTTGTCTGGGAGTGGGTGGTTTTTTTATTTGTTTATTTAATGGTTATTGTAATGCCATTTACTGGAGTTTAGTGCCCTGGGGTCCAGGTATGCTAAATGTCCTGAAGTACCTGGGACAGTCCCCAACAATGAAGAATTGCTTCACCGGTTGACAACAGCACCATAGCTAAGGAACTCTTGAGTGAACCACTGTTTACCTCTTGGAGTAAACCATTCTAGAATTTCTCAAGTGGTTATATGTTATTTATCTGTAATTTTTAAAATATATATATTTTTTGATTTCAGAGAAGAAGGGAGAAGGAGAGAGAGTTGGAAAAATCAATGATGAGAGAGAATCACTGATCAGCTGCCTCCTGCATGCCCCACACTAGGGATTGAGCCTGCAACCTGGGTATGTGTCCTGACCAGGAATCAAACCGTGACCTCCTGGTTCGTAAGTCGACGCCCGACCACTGAGCCAGCCAGTCAGGCTTTATCTGTAATTTTTAAAATGCAGTCACCTGTAAACGACGTTTTGTTTACTGCTGTGGCCATCTGTGATAGATGCCTTCCATTTGTCCCTCAGTCTGCTCTCCACCTTGCTCTCCACCCCAAAGGCACACATGCATGTGCTGTCGCAAGAACTTCCCTCTGATGTCCCCCCCAAAGGAGGCTGTAGGGTGAGGGAGAGCAGGTGCTGGGTATTCATTCC